GCAATAAAAGTGTCACGAAGACCGGAGACTGTTAGAACAGGGGCAAAATAATTTTATCAGGACCGGAGACTGCATGATCAACCCTGTAGAAATGAGTTGTACAAGTTAGCCACATGCATTGACAACTTTATTTATGTAAGCAAATGAATGTTTATGTAAATGTACTTTTAAAGATACAAGGAATAAATCAAAGTCCTTTTAGTTTTATCTTACTTCTTGTCCAACTAATATGTTAAATTATTTTCTATTTGAAAGTTAGTTAAAACTTCAAATGCTTGTGCCAGAATGAATAAGAGGCATCCTCTTCAAGAACACTGTAAACATAAGGGCCCTCTCTTATAAAACCCTCATAGTCAAAGGGTAGATTCCGTAAATGTGAATGCCCGAGATCAAACGTTATCAGATGTAAAAAGAATTCTCGAGCTTTGTCAGCTAAATAAAAAAGAATATTTCTTGCACAATACTTATGCCAAAAATGCTTTCATTATTTAAAATGCCAAACTCAGTAAAGAAGTTTTGGCATAATTACAAAGGAAAAGAAAAATATATACATCAATTATTTTTGTTGCTAGAGCCCGAAGGGAGAGAAAAGTCTTCGTTTTTCTTTTCAAGAGAAGGTTGTTCTGCTTCTGGTTCGAGGCCTTCATCCTTATCTTCTTCTTCTTTTTCAGCTTCCTCTTTGGTTCCCGAGTAATCAGAGTTAGTGTTCGAAGAATCTGAAGCAATGGGCCACCGGGGAGGTTCTCGAAAGCGGTTGTCTCCAATCCACGAGCTTTGGCAATGCAATCATCAATGTTTTGCAATGCCTTTTTTGGCCTCCTCCAAAGTTTTCCTCCTCATGTGATAAATTACATGAGTTTTCTTAAGGAGGAAAGAATCTTCTTGATCATGGAGTTTAGCTTAGAGTTACTCGATTTTGGATTGAAGCTTATCATTTTCAACTTTTACAATGTTGATCTTGGAATCAAGTTCAATATTAGTTGTTGCATGAAGCTGGTTTTGCTCCATGACCCTTCTAGTCCTTTCTTCCATTTTTGGCTCTCTTTTCCTCGGCGACATTAGCCTCTTCGGTTTTCAAGTGTAAGTCTGCTTCTAAGTTGTTGATATGATCCATAAAAGCAAACTCACGCTCGGCCGAAACAGTGATAGTGTCATGTAGTTCAGCCCACTTGGCCTTTTCCTCCTTAAGATCTTCATGTAATTGAGTGGCTTCTTGGCTGTGTGCTATTCTATCTTTCTCAAATTGCTCTAATCGAGCTTCGATCTCGCCCATTTAAGCAACCTTTTCTTCTAATACCGGGAGGGGTTCGACAAGTTGATTTTATTTGGTCAAAAGTTGATTTCGTTTTGTAGCAAGTTCCTCTTTATCCAAAATAAACTTTTGCAGGCCCTCAGAAGCAAGGAGGTTAGCCTAAAGAGATTTAAGCTAAGGTTATTAAGGCAAAGTCTAACAAATAAAAAGGGAATAAAAGAAGGTTAAATTGATACCTGAGCCGAATAGTACATGTTGTTATTTATCAGACACTCAGCAGAAAGAGAGTCCATTTTTCTCCAATCTTTTTCCATGGCCAACGGCTTTAGGTAATTGTCAACCTGCACCGGCTTGGAAAGTATGTGGTACATTCGAAAATGTGAGAATGATACTATATTTTCCATTAGGGTTTTGAGTGGGTGCCGATGGTGGAGAGGTAGCAGTTAGTGTAGAAGGTGTTGCGGTAGCAGCTCGCTCAGAAGTTGATGGTGGAGGTACCTCAGGGGCAGAACCCCTCTGAACAGAAACGTCAACAGGAGCCCGAAAGCGAGACTCAACTTTTTCAACAATTTCTATTTCCGAGAAAAGTCCTTGAACTTCTTCTCGGAGTGGTGTTTGATGCTCTCCTGGATGATCATCCGGTTGAGATGATGAAGGTATTTTTCTTCTTTGTAGAGGATCTACTTCATCATCGGTTCCTTCATCGTCAAGGACCACTGTGACTGGTCCGGTTGGTGCTTCTTCTGTTGATGTCTTCACCCGAGTCCCAGTCGTGGAGGTACCTTTTCTTTTGGGTTTCTTGTTCTTGGGCTGGGGACTTCGGGAGGAGGCGCCTTCACCGGAAGCAAAAGCGGCTTCACAAGTCTTCTTTTGGTTGAGGACATTTTGTAATTGGTGGTGAACTTCCTCTGGGTCATCGGAAACCTCAATGGCAGGGTAAACGGAAGATCCTTCCGGAAGGCCTATGTATTGCAATAGTCCATAAATTGATTCTAAGTCATATTAAATGTTTGAAAGGGAAAAAGAAAGAAGTTTTACTTACCATGGTTTTGCCTTTCCACCCAAATTTGGGGGCCATTTTCTTCCACCTTTGAATCTTCGTTGTGGAAACACTAGAATTTTCTGTACCAATTGGGCCAGGTTTTTGACCGATGGTGGTTCCCAATGGGTAGTTGGAGTAGGAAAAATAAAAATTAGCAAAGAAGATTTTTTTTTTAATGTGATAAGGAAAAGATATCCGAAGACTTACGAGTAAAATTCCAAGATTCAGGAATGATAGGTGTTGTTGTAGGATGAATGTCCTTGTTAGCGATGATAACAAATCATTCCATCCAGCCACGATCAATTTCATCATCAACACTAGTAAGAAGGGCATGGTGGCCGCATATGTTGAGCTTTAGCACACCTCCTCGGAAGATCTTTAGGAGAATAGAGGTTGATCAAGTGTGCGAGAGTTAGGGTTTCCCCGGTCTCGGAGCACAACTTTCGAAGGCAAGCCACCGTACGCCATACTGATGGTCCTGCTTGAGCCAAACAAATTTGGTAATAATGACATAATTCTAAAATTATGGGGTCAATTCCTTGACCCAATCCCAAAGTGAAAGTATATGTATAAACATACATGAACTCTGATTTGGAGAAGGTGATCCTTTCCACTTTATTGGGGGCGAATATTTCAATATTTTTTCAATCGCAATCTTCCTTCACGACGGGAATGCTAGAAAGATGAATGGAAGAACCTGCAAACAAGCCAGTGTCTGTTGCTTTTGGGATTAGCAGGTTCTTTTTGGACTTGAAGGTCTCACTGAGTGTTAAGTTGAAGGGGTATGATGGTGTTAACGGTAGGAGGTTCGAATTCGAAATCAACTTCCTTTGTTTTATTCTTTATAGGGCTACCACCAAAGAGAAGGTCGGAGTTTCCGAGGACAGCGGTATTAGAAGACATGATGGTAAGAAATTTGAGTAAGAAAATTTTATTGTGAAGAATGGGAATTTGCAGTATGGTTCTAAAGAAATTCAAAGAAGAAGAAGAGTTTGAAAAGTGAAAAGTAAAGTTGAAGAGTAGTGGAGAAGTTTATAAGCGGCATAATTCATGGTCATGATTACCTTGAAAACTGGCAAAAATCAGGGTAACATGTGTTCGAGTCATTAAATGCAAAGAGATGTGCGTGTCATAAATGAATATGATATTTTTTCAAGGCAAGCAAAGACAGGCTGATCAAATTACTAGAATAATTGTGTTATAGAGAAAGGATGAAATTTAGGTTGATCAGAAAATTAGAGGAACTAAACTTCTATCCCGAAGCTGTGAAAAAGCTTTGTCGCCGGTCCAGAATTTGGAATGGGCTAAAATATCAGAAATCTGAAAGATTACTCTAAAGTATTATAAAGAAAAGAAGAATTAACCTAAATAGCCGCCTACCTGACTGCTTAAACTAAAAATAACCGATGGAGGTATAATGTATGCATAATTTATGTATTATATGTGTATAATTATATATAATAAATGTATAATCTATATATATGGCTAAAAAAATAAATAATGAATATGAACGGCTATTTGTGTAAAGATCCCAATTATAAATGAAGGCCCAAAACACCGGCCTCCAACAACTGAACAATCCAACTTTAAAACCCTAGTTTATCTAAGCCCACCATCTCTCCCTATAAGTACCCCAAAAAACCCTAGAAATCATCTTCTTCACCGGCTGCCCATTTGCAAAGAAGCAGAGGAGATTAGAAACCAGCAAAAATGAAGTACAATCCAAGAGTGTCCTCTTCCCGCCGTAAGAGCAGAAAAGCCCATTTCACTGCGCCATCAAGCGAGCGCCGGGTGATAATGAGCGCGCCGTTATCCACCGAGTTACGTTCAAAATACAACGTGAGATCCATGCCGGTGAGGAAAGACGATGAAGTCCAAGTCGTTCGTGGGACCTACAAGGGGCGCGAGGGCAAAGTCGTCCAAGTGTACCGTAAGAAATGGGTAATTCACATTGAACGCATAACACGTGAGAAGGTTAATGGATCTACTGTTAACGTTGGTATTCACCCTTCTAAGGTTGTTGTTACGAAACTCAGGCTTGACAAGGACAGGAAATCGCTACTTGATCGTAAGGCCAAGGGACGCGCTGCTGCTGATAAGGACAAGGGTACTAAGTTTACTGCTGAGGATATCATGCAGACCGTCGATTGATTTTTCAGTCGTATCTTTCTGTCTGGTATTGCTATTTTAGCTAAAGAGAGTTTTTAGTGCTTTTGAGACATTGAATTTTGTTGGAGTTTTTGTTTTCATTTAAAGCAATGATGATGATACTTCTGAATCTTAACTATATTGGGTTAATCAATATTTTCCATGAAATCCTTGTGTTGCTATGTTTAATTGATTGTTACTGGTAATTATTGCTCGAGTCGAGTGATTGCATAACCAATTTGTGCCTTGAACATTTTATTGTATCTCACTCAATAAGTGAGATAGTTAAGCTAAGTGTCGGCTTAACTATGTAACTTATATATGTAACTTAGAGAAAATACAGCATATGGTTTAGAGTCTTAATAAGTAAATTATTATGTTGTAAAGAACTGAGGCTATGGAGAATTCATATATCCTTTGAAATGGTTTTATGAATCAATGACTCTATACCTGTTTACAACTATCAATGACATGAGTTTTTGTATCATTGATTTGAGAACCATATATATTAAGCTTTAGCTATGAGGGAAATTTTGTTTGCAAATTGGTTGCAAGCGTTGTGAACATTATTGTACACTTCTATCGTGTAGAGTTGCTTATTAAATTTTGCTTTATAGAGTGTTTTTGTGAGGTTTAGTATACAGCTTGTTCTGCTTGAAGAATAGACATTAACGATAGTGAATCTTTTGAGTGATAGAAACAAAAGAACACAAGAAATAGGTGTAAGTTAGAGGGATTAGTACTTGCATCCTCTTCACTTCATATTTTACATCCTATATTTGGAGCAACAATTCCCCTTGTTCTTCCTTCTGCTTTTATGAAATAGTCTAGTCTTCCCTCTGTTTGGTCATTCTTTACTAATTAGTTAATATATCCTTTGTTCCAATGGACTTATAATCGATTTAAAAGTTATTTGCTCAAGTTAGATGGGTCTTGGTTGGTTTATTTAGTTGAGTGACATGTGGTTCCGAGAAGTTAATTGTTCCATATGCTACTAGGAAATTGTTCTTTGTCTGTTTGATTACTTCCAATGATTCCTGGCTTGAAATTTTGGCCTGTTTTATGAGCTTTTAGCTTGGGAGACGATTTCTTGTTTACTGCTACAAGATTTACTCATTAGTTAGGCTCATTCATTTCTTGAAACACTAGCGGGGCAGACAATGCCAATGTGCAATCCCAAATGCTATTTTATGGTGAGATGCAGGGAATCCATCACAAAAGACCCTGTCTCTTAGAATTCAGGCTATTATAACGAGTCAGATACTAACGAGGTGGGATTGAGTTTAGCATGTTGGTACATTTACATTGTGTCTTGTGTTTGCACTAGGTCTTTTAAGATTTGCTTGTCTTCATAAAATATAGAAAACTTCTAGTGGAGTCCTGGATTGAAAGGGGTCTATATGGAATATGTGTTGGTTATTTATATAATTGACCTAACTTGCTTGATATTGATTCTCTTAGTTGCTGTTCTCATTTTGTTGTGTTCTTGGTATTTTAAGCCTAGTGGCAACTAGCCAGTTCACTTTTATGGGAACAATATTTCAATCTTCAAATGCAGTTGGATTAGTCTTAAATTTCTTTTTGCTGGGGCCCGATAATCTCTGGTAGCATATTTGCCCTCTAAGCCTGGTGCATACGACTTAATGATGGCCATCTATGTTATTAATCTTTTAACCATAAAGCTCTTGATTCTGTGTATCTGATATTTCAATCTGAATATTTCATTTCAGACATGCATATATCTATTTACTTTTCGAAAAAATCTAAAGCAGACGTTAGAAAAGCAATAAGAGAGATAAAGATCATGAGATCAGTTTTTGTCGCCAGCTTCTCTTTCTCCCTCTCTCTAACACACACACACACACAAAACACTCGCACACAATCTGCTAAATAATGTTTTACAGATTGCTTTCTACCCAAAGTTGTCAATCATCAAAGGCCATTTTCCCACTGAGATCCACTATTTTTCCTCTGTTGCTCACCCTGGAATGCTGCATGTCCTCTCTCCGTTGCCTCACATCTGATTATCTTTCCTTACCCGCCATATGCAAGTCAACTACCACATGAGATGTTGGGTGTATATCTTGAGTGAGTGTTGCTGGATTTTGTTGGGTACAATTTGTGGAGTCTATATCTAAAATTTGGGGCTATTTGGTGAAGGATTTGGGTGGTTGCTGCGTTGATTTTTTTTGGGGTAATTTGTTGCCTTGATCTGTGGGGAAGGATAAGGGGATGAGCAAGGAGGAGAAAGAAGAGGGTGGGCCCATCTTTCCTTTTTTTTTTTTTTTTT